AGAAAATTAACTCTATCCCAGCTGAAACCAGGACACAAGGAAACTGCTTCATGTGTGTAGTAAAGACAAAGATACTGAATCAGATAAATGTAATAGAAAATATCAGGTTATATGTATATCATAACATTCTAGGCACACCCTTTATTCAGACTGGTTTTAATATTTAAAAAAGATCTTAAAAGGGCAGAATATGAAAATAAATACTAGCTTCCCAGTTGCTGATGCTGTTTGTTCCAGTGCAAACCTATTGCACTGTTACCAATGGATGCTGTCAGATACAAAGAAAAATGAGATTTGCTGTGCACGTTGGTATCCATGTCACTAATTGAAACTGACACCGCGGTGTTTAGAGAATTCCATTTCTCCTCCTGATAAGCACACAGGCCTAGTTAATTCACTAAGTAACCTTTATTAAATTGAGCAGATGGGAAATCACATTTTTCTTTTTCTTGCATCAGACAAAGGTTAGAAAAAGGTCACTAAGATTTCCTGTGAGACTCAAGCACACAGTATGCTAAATTATTCTTCCTTGGATGTATAGAGCCTGTTCTTCATTTCAGAAGATAATCTGCACTTTATCTCAACATGACGCATTCCCATTTCAGTAATACCCGAATTACCTCATGCTTGCAGTTGTTTGCACTGTACAGAAGAATATGCTGGGCATCGTGTCGATGAGATGATCAGATCGTATTGTCCAATAAGAGCATATTTGATTCTGCAAATGCTTTATATTAACACTTTTAAATTTGCATGGTTGGTTAAAGCTAGAAGAGATTACCCACTGGAATTAATAAACTTCTTGTCTGCTATAGGAACTGGGGTTAAATACAGCCCTGTATTCATGCAATAGAGTGGGATCTGCATGTTTGCGTTGCGTAATGTGAGAATATTTCATCTCCCTGGCTTGTATGAACTGGAGGTGATGTGAAACTCCCGTTGAAGAATTTATTTTTTTGCTTTCCATCCAGTAAACCTGCACTTGCAGGGGACCTCCAGTTCTTTCTATTTTAAAGTAGTCCCAAGAAATATAACAGGCTTACTCTTACTGTCTAATTTGAATTAGTGCTGTATTTTAAATGCTGAGAAATCATGTTGGTGTAAACTTTGTGCAGCAAGTAAAGAGAAAATATGATCTCATTGAATGAAAGGGGTTTTTCTGCCTCCGCTCTCCCACACGTCTCACTATAACAATACCCAAATTTGGTCACAGATTAGTATTTATGCTAAAGTGTATTATCCCCATCTGGAGTAATGAAGGTTACAGGAAATTTTACAATGGAAGGGACACAATAAAAACTACGAAGTGATATATCAGAGTGGAACTCATTAGTGTAAACAACATTGGTAACCAATTGATTTCGTATCACAATTTCTTACGTAATCTGAGAATGTGCAAGCCTTGATGAAGCGTCTTACCCAGGTTTAGCAGAGTCTTCAGTTTGCTTTGTTTCAGAAGATGTTTAATCTTGTTTGTATTTATTTTGCAGTGGCTAGAAGACTGCAAAAGAACATTTGGTACTGATGACGGGATTCATGGCACTAACACAGATGCCCAGGTAGGTGTATGTCATTTGTGAGTCTCTGGATATGAGATTAAAAAACATCTTTACATCTATTGCACAAAAATTGCAATATTTGCAGAGAGATTAAAAATGTATGAAAAGCTTTTCGTTTCAGTTATCATACTATCTTTTGGAAACTCGGATTCTTACGAAGTAGTGGTCTAATAAAAAGGGCTCTTTTTAATAAAAGTTGGCAACCTGTCTTGGGTGCTAGACTTAATAACACTGCGTAGATAAGCAGACTAGATACCATCTGTGTACCAGCAAGTCTGCTTTTCTGCAGCTGTTTCTAGAAGAAAAATGATTGGCATTCTGCTTATATGCTCAGATAAACTGTCTAGCCAAAAACCTCTACTGAATGTAATATAATTAGTACTATATAAATACAACCTTTCTGGAGCCATTATTTGGGTGGGAAGGAACAGGGAGTAAAGTAGCAGTATGGCAAAAATCTCATGAAACACTTCTGTCAAAATATCATCTAACAACAATAGGTGAAGTAACCTATTAATATTAGTTCACTATTTTGTATGTATTTGCATGGCAGTCATCCATGTTTAACATTACTGATTGCTATAGTAAGTGATAACTTTTCCCCAAGTATACTAGGACTTTTTTTTTTAAAAAAGCTGCATAACATTGACACTGTAGATAAAAAGAACAAATCCAAAAACTATCATTAGTAGGTACAAGCAATCTGCCATCTAGAGTCCTGTAATAAGAACAGTGAAAGACGTAAGAAAGTAGAATTGCAGGTAGCAGGTGAACTTACCTTTTCACAATGACATTTTGACAAAAATCCCAAATCCAAGCTGAGAAAGGAGGAATTTGAATCCTTTTATTCAATCAAACTCTATTCATTGATGCACAGTGTACATCAAAATGTAGTGTTCAGCAACAGAATCTCTGTTGTGTGCAGGGACTATTTCCTCTTTTATACAGTTTTCATTTGCTCTCATATATAATATAAATGTATATATTTTTTAATTTAATCACAAAATGCACCCACATTTTTAGAGTAGTGAAATGTGTGATAATATACTGTTGATTTTTATGTTGCATTGAAGTTGCACATTTTAAAAAAATGTTTCGTGTGGATAAGCATAGGAAATACAGCAAAATAATTTGCTACCATTTGCAAGGATTTTTGCCTATGAACACAACGTTTAGTGTATTTTACACTTGGTTTACATCTTTGTATGCTGACTGGTACATGTTTAGAAATATGTAACAACATTTACTATTACAATACGGTAAACTTTCTATATATTAACAATATGGACTGGAATACATAAATGCCACTTTTTTTAGAATGTTGTTTATATACACCAAGAAACTGCTCTAACATTTACCTGTTAGAACATAACTGTTCTTACCATGAAGGTAAATGTTACTGTTCCCACTGTATACCTAAGGAAACTAAGAAATGGAGGGAAAGCCACATGCAGGCTTTCATTTAGCTTGTACAGAGAGAATGCAGGATTCTGAGTGAGGCAGTTTTGTCTGCTCTTCCCCGTTTCTGCAGGCTTTGAAGATACCCTTTGAAAAGGAGTTATGTGACCATTCACATCAGTTATTCGTGGGGACCTGTTTTGATTCTGGTTTTCAATCCTAGCCTGCAAGGCATGCTGGCGATTTTTTCTTTACGTGCTCCTTACATTTGCAGGTTCAGTTAAAATCATTTTAATATATAGTATCCATTGAGAAAGCAGAGTCCTGTTATCCTGCTTCGTAAATAGGCACAATTTACAGAAGTTCTAAATTCATTCACAGAAGCTTATAGTGACTTAAAGGAGATTGAGAAGTTACCAAGTGTAAAATCATTGTTTCAAAAGTCCTTGTAAATGGAGTGTGGGGCTGCTAAGTCTATCCAGTCAACCAGTTAATGCTAAAAATATGTAAGTGTTGTCTTGCTCAGGAAAACAGAGCTGCTTCATTCAACAGGTATTTTTCATTCACTAACACAAATAAGATTTTCTTACTAATTTTTAGCACTGTGGTCAATACAGATAAGGAATAGTGAGATTAATTGTGTTCTGGCTCATGCATTGCCAGCAGACTTGCAAGTAAATCTAATTATTGGACTTTTGCTATTAGTACTTACATGCAAGCCTGAAAGAATGTATCTGGACTCTGGCTAGACTGTTTATACAGGACTAGCAGGTAGAAAAATCAGATTATTTCTCAAGTGAGCAAGTATGTGAAAGACACTGAAGCAGTACAAAGCCATTTTTAAAGGAAAACCTCTCTTGAATTTTTAGAATAGCTATCAAGGTATGATTTTGGGGAGAGAGATTATTTATGGCTTACAGTAATAATGAGACTTGGCTTAAAGAACACTGGAACTTAATGACTAAAAATATTAAATACTCGACCCTACCATTCCTCAAAGTCTGATTCTCTGTCCTTCATTAGTGAGTCATAGAATTCTTGTCGACTTTTGCAGTTCAAGATCTTCTCTCTCTGCAGCATTCTGTGCATCAGCAGGTTTTGCTTATAATTGTGCTATGTATATGATAGCACAGAGTACAGAACAAAAGCATGCAATGTTTATAGTTTGTTAAGCACATAGTGTATAACTTATACACATCAGGCATAACTATGTGCTTAGTAAAGCTCAACTGCTTCTGCCTGTTGGAATCGGACATCGGTTGCATCTTCGTGTTTACTATGACCATTGTACTTGCTTAAATGCCACCAATATGCTCAGTGCTGTACAAAGCACAGAAGTGAAGTTCCTTTCCCTAGTCTGACAAATATATTTTCTGACAATTTCTCTCCCTGTCCCTCTTTCCCAAATGTTTTTCTGAAATAGCTGGTAAAAAACAAGTGCAATTAAATTACAGAAATCTCACAGTGAGGTTGTTGAGAATTCAGTTCAGCAAAACCAAGAATTTTCTAAACTGATTCAGAATCCAAATTAACATTACATCTCAAATTTTAAAAGGCATTATTTTTGCTTAAACTGTAGTGGGTACAGAATAAGTAAGAAGCATTGTACAGATGTTCAGACCTAAGTGTCCTTGGTTTTCATTTCCTTAAATTTGCATACCTTTAAGACTACACAATGTATAAAGACCGAGACAGGGTTGTAAGTGAAGTATGTTACTCATGTTGTGGGACAGTAAAGCCAATGCTATCTATCGTTAGTTATAGCAGCAAGTAACTTCACTTCAAATTCAGTCTGTTATTTTTTTTCCATTCAGGGTATATTTGGAGCATGTTACTTGCATTTCTTCCTCCATTTTACCTGGGACATCTTTTACCCTAATCAAAATTATTTCCTACACTAATTCTTGATCTTTTTTTCTTTCTTTGTATTTTTGTGACCTGCTCATCTTCTTGCTTAGCAAATGGAAATTCTAGCAGTAAGTGATGGTTCTTGATTGATCAAATACTTAACCATGCCAATCTCCAAACTGGTCTCCATCTGTCTCGTCCATTTGTGACATAGTGATGTCTTGTCATAGGCTATTACAAAAATGCTGTGTGCTTCAATTTTGCATCATCTAACTCATTGAACTGTTGGTCCTTTGTAGATAATAGGATCCTGTAGTTAGCAGAACGCTATAGAAGATTATTCCATTAGCATTAGCTTTTATGTCTGTATGTAAAGTAGTATTAACACTGTCTGCATTTTGACTAGTGTTTTAGACACACAAAAATGGAAGCAAGACCATGCATAAGTTAATGCTCCTGTTTCATTTCCTTAAGAATATATCGTGGTATTTTCTAAAATAGAATCAGAGCTACCTTTTATAAAGGAAATACTATTCTTGCCTCCAAGAATGGCATTATTCTCCTCTTATTCCATCAGGCAGTTGTAAGCTAAGGGCCAGGTTATATACTGTGCTTACATATTTATATTAATGGTTATGAAAGATTCCATACTTACAGACCATAACTGCTTCTTTTGGATATCAGATCTTGAATTTAACACAGTAAAATATCAACAATAAAAGTAACTGATCTATGAAACTCTGTCTTGGAACATGACATTTCAAAATGCCTTTGGAATCACTTTACATCCCACCCTACCCCCCTTCTTGGCAATGTAACTTCTTATTAAAAAGTAAACCTTAAACATATGTGAGAGAGGCTACCTGTAAATCTAGAACTGAACGAAGCTTTCATCTGCTTTTCATTAGCTTCCTGCTATGTTAGCTTCTAAATCTTTTGGGCATTTTCTTTAGTAACCAAATAACTACTTTTAATTTTGCACATTCTGTACTGAAGAAGTTGTCATTTATTGTCTGTTGTATTGGATAGTAAGTAGATGTTTTGCACTTCCTGAATATAATAATGTTGTTTACATTTGTAGGAGCTGGAGTTGTGTCGGAGGCTATACAAGTTGCATTTCCAGTTGCTGCTTCTGTTCCAAGCCTATTGCAAACTTATCAGCCAAGTAAAAACAATCAAAAAAGAAGCAGAGGTAATGAAACCCATGACATTTAGCTACTAGTTGTTGACATTTTAAAGCCAAACCATTTAAAAAATACATTTTGATAACATTTTCATCAGTGGGACGTCTTTCTAGAAACTGAAGGAGGGTCCCAGCTGTTTTATACCAACTAATAAACAATTTAAGTGGAGCTCACAAAAATTTTCTGAGATGTTCAATTATCTGTGTTGATTTTTGTACAGCTTGAAAGCTCTTAAATAGACAGGAACGCAGGGAGTCCAGTGATGAGGATTTAAAATATTTCAGTAGCGCTTCTGGTGTATTCTAATCAAGCTACAATCAAGGCATATCAACTCCAATCAACAGAGTTCCGTGATGAAGCCCCTTTCCGTCACCCCAGTGTTTCCTATTGCAAACACCATCACTTGCTACCAGCTGATTTATATAACTGTTTCGCTTCAGCCACTGTGCAATTACTCCACAACCTTAGTCCCCATCCTACGTGCAGTTAGTAATGCGTTCTAGGTATCTTATGCCTGATTTTTAGTTGTACTAACTTTAGAAGTAAAATGTGCCCTCCAGCTGTGCACATGTGGTACATATGTGATGTTAATTGAGTTAATCTGAATGCACTATGCTATTAATAATGTCTTCTGAAAGTTCTCCCCTGAGTCTGTAATGCAGTAAGTAGAGGTAGCAGGAAAAAAAATAGGCCTGGTCTTGCTTGATATAGTAGGGAGGAAAATGAAAAAGCGGGGTGAAAGCCTTTGGGTTTTGAGTAGCTTAGGAAAAAATGATGCATGTTCCTCACTTAGATTTCCAGCTTTTTGTAGAGTCTGCAAGTGAGTGAGTTCATTTGCGTCTGGAGAATATTGTGGAAGGTCGGCATCACACCAGTCCCACTTCTTGTCTAAGTTAGTCAGATGTAGAATCATACTCTTGAGTGATGGCCTTGTCTTTCACTCATACATTGGAGCTAAAGCCAAAGGTAGTATTATAGACACTGGCTGCACTACAGTTACTCTGCTGTGGGTTACCAGTCTCCCAGATGTTTTCTTCGTATTTAAGTTGTCCTTGTAATAACACAATTGCTGCTGTACTTTTCCAACATGTTTAATTCTCTTGTCAGTTTGTTATTAAGTGATGTGGGGAGAAAAGAAATGTATCTTTTGAAACAAATTTTAAAAGAATAAGTCGGATGGAAACTTCATCAGGGGAAAAGCCAAATACCTGACATGCACACTCAGGCCATTAAATTAACTGTATACTTAAGCAACGGCAGAAAATATTTGAATGTACTTTTTCTGCCTCTCATTTATGATTGCAAAGAGGAGGAAAAATGTTAAGTCTGATCTGCTGAAAGTTAATATGCTGAAAGTACACTTAAACTAGAAAAGGCAACTCTTGTATTTGTTTTAGGTCATAAACATGTCTGAAGAACTTGCTCTTTTGGAGAGCTGTCTGAAAGAGGCTGAGGCTGCATCCGACAGTGGTATCGAAGAAATTGAAATTGCAGAGGCTTCCCAAGCTAGCACAGAAACGGCTATTCACTCTCTCATTGAAACCCTGAGAAACAGGGAGTTTGTGTCAGCTGTAGCACAGGTCAAAGCTTTCAGGTAAGTGCTTAAGGATTGCTTTCAGACCTGAGTTTGCTAAGGGCCTTTTTAATTTAAAGATAGGGACGCGCACTATTCCAGGTTGGTTTTTTCAGCTCTTGCTAGATGTCCTTATTGAAAAGGAGAAGCACCGTGGCTTCATTACAGCTTGTTCATACGCATTTTGCAATTAAAAAAAAGCAGTTCCAGTAGTATTCATTCTTTAGAATTTATCTCTGAGAAAATGATACTGTTAACTATCAGGACTCTATGGAAGAAACATTTATCTTGTGTTTTCCTATGTCTTCTGTTCAAATGTCTGTTTAAAGAACCAGAATATTTAAACTTTTTTTTTTTAATGTTTAAATCCAAATTGTGTGTTTACAGATCTATTTGGCCCCACGACATCTTTGGCAGTTCTGAAGATGACCCAGTTCAAACATTGCTGCACATATATTTCCGTCATCAGACACTTGGTCAAACTGGTAGCTTTGCAGTAGTAGGCTCCAACCAAGATATGTCTGAGGCCAGCTCAAAGCTGATGGAACTTAATCTAGAAATTCGAGAGTCTCTACGCATGGTGCAATCCTATCAGCTTCTAGGGAAAATCAAACCAGGAATAAATCTTGTGAGCACTGGATTCTGAACAGCTGTCATTTCGAAAAGAACTGATGATGAAGACGCTTTAGACTATTACTGAGCACCTTTCATAAAAAAAGAAAACCTCTGGCAATCCTGACAACCAACACAGTTTCATCACAGCAAGAAATTGTTTCATCAAAAGTAAAAATCTGAAAATTGAAGTGAACATCTTTCTTGACTGCTCTTTCTACATAGTAGCTGTGTGGCAGTAGTATTTTTTTATTAAATATATGTATAAAACTACACGAAAGGAAAAGGGCTTAAATGTAATGCATACATATGCATTATTTTCTGTAGTAACAGAACTATAATTGGTGTTTGCAGTAACAGCCTCTAAAGGTTGAATCAATATCGCAGGTGGGATGAGGCTAAAATCAAGGCTGGTTTATTTTGGCTGAAGACCTGCAAGGCTTCCTGGCTTTCCAGCAGTAGAAGATATAATCATCAACTAATACCTAATGACACTTTGCAATGTCATGAAGAATGTGCGGTCAAACATGAGTAGAATGACTGACGACTGCAAAAACCATTGACTTCTCAATGTTTTATTTGCTTTTGTTGTCTGTAACAGGAAATTATGTGTGTGAGTTAGAATGTATGGCTATGTGACAGTTGTTTTTTGAAGGTATGGATGATTGTTAAATAAGGTCTCAGAGCATGCTTAAAAGAGCTGCAAGATTATTTTTGAAGAAATTTTATTTTATTAGATCTAATCCTCATAGTGTGTAAATGTTAGGACATTTAATAATATTTTAAACTGGGATTTCCCAGTGTTTCTAAAAGAAATAATATATGTTAACTTTATTGGAATGCTGCTCAGTTCTCTGATCAGTGCTTATGTTACAAATATTGATAACAACTAACCAAAAAGTAGCTGCCTGCAGAGACTTTAAAATGTATATTAAAGATATATGCTGCCCATCAGCAATTCTCATTAGAAGTTAACTTATTCTGTATATATTCTAGAAACTGTATAGCGCAAAACCAGTATTTTTCTTGTAAATTTGTGCAATGCACTGTTAAAACAGTAGGTGTATAAAGTTATGAGGGGAAGGGGGGGGTTCTCCCTATCGGTAGTCACATACATTACTTGCAGTCTGAGTAGTCTGCAGGATTGAAAGAGTTTGAATGCATCTTCATGACTCAAGCCTAAGGAATTGGGACTATATAGAGAAAAAAAAAAAAGACTGACTACCAAAACATGCAAACAGGCAATATATTCATAGTTCAGTGTTGAAGTCTGTAGCATAAAACAAACTGGATTCTGTTGAAACCAATAGCATTTTGTAAATAAAAAAGAAGAAAAAAGAAAAAAAAAGAAGAAAAAAACCAGAAAAAAGAATGTAGTCCCACGATTCCTGTGATTTGAAAGGAACACCCAGTATTTTTATATACATCTCTTACCCACTGTGATTTTTTTAATGGGCTCTAACTCCAGAGTTTAGAATGTAGAATTGAAATTCTTAGCTCTGCCTTTTTGGGGGAATTGGACCCCACTAGAAATGTAATTATGCTGAAATGCATTAATTGAAGGCACTGTATACGCTGTTGGACTGCTGACAGTAGCTATGTTATCCTAACAAGTTCTGTAACTAGTCAAGGCACATCCATAATCACTGTATTTTTTTCCCCCCTGTCCCTGATAAAATTGAATTATTTTGATGGTTTTGTGGTACTGTAGATGGTGTTCTTAATTATTTAATAAGTATTTGCTGGGGATAAGTAGTTTTACTTAGGGGTGCATTACACTTTTATTTACATCATCTTTTACCAGCTTTTTTTGTAAAAATAAAAGACATTGTATCTGTCATTTTGTGTATTTTTACAAGCTAAAGTTTAAATACTTTAGCTAAACAGACTAAACACTGACAACAGAGGCCTGGGTGCCCTGAGATCATGTTTTTTTCCTTTTATGTCCTGTCAATGCAACAGCATTTTCCTAGGCATCTTCTGAACCTGTTAAAGGATTTGTCATGCAGCTCAAACCTGAACTTAGGTAATTCCTTATGTTATACATCTTCCTCTGTTTACAATGACTAGTGGAAATAGGGACCTGCCCTATGGAGCTCAATCATGGTCCATAGACAGTCTTGGTATTTCTTTAGCTTCGTGAAAGAACTATTTCCAAATTTCCACCATGCAGCTTGTTCTGGTTTTGGAGAGTCTTTCCCTTTGCCACTAGCAAGTCTCTTCACCAAGAAAGTACTACATCAATTTGAGTGTGGTTCTTTTTTGCTGGTTGCTCCTATACCCACTTCTCCAAAATTACTTGCCCTCAACTACTGCATATGTCACCCTGTGTTACCTGGGGCTAAGTCTGTGCCAAATTGATGGTAAAGCTGTCTAAAAACAAGCAAAACATCAGACATCTGCTGTAAGATGCAACGAATATACCATTGAGCTAATACATGGAAAAGAATCTCTTCATGAAAAAGCTGTACAGGGCAAGTTCAAGATATCTTTGAAGAATTGGCAGTGTGAAGACTTTTCCTTTCTGCTTCGCATAATCACATAGGTCATGAGTAGCTTTCCTCCTTTCTGCTGAGTCTAGGAACCAGTGTCCATGATGCACAGTGTATGCTGTCAAGGACATGACAGGGCAGTAACGTGGAAAAGGATAGGGAACTGTACTTTGGCATTGAGCAGTAAAAGCATTGAATGTATTTACGTAAGAAGAACGACATGCAGCACTGACGAATGTTACAGGATGAAGGAAAGCTTGTTTAATATCGCTGCACACAGCACTCCCATTCCTCCAAGCCTCAAAACCTTGCAGTAGCTGATGAAAGCAGGGCCAGCTCTTTGCTGCTACCTGCCACTTGGAGCCTTCATCAACTGCTTGTTTGGCCCGGTTGCTGCTGAAGCACTCCATACAGTTCAGATCAGCCAGACCTGTTGACATCTTATCAAACAGAAGCAACTGCTGCTTTGACTGTAGCTGGCAGGGATGTCAACTCTAAGATGTACTCAATTTCACTTTAGGCTATTACGGACAATAATTGCGTAAGAGTCACCATATTCACAGCAAGTATTCCTCAAAGCAATGCTTGTGAGGACATCTGTATAAATAGGAAGCACTCGACTGCCCACATTGCTGTGAATTGCCATATGACTTCATATTGACATGGCACAGAGCTTCAGTTGTCAAACTCATTACCAAGGTGCACAGACTCATCACAGTCATCTCCCACACTGCCATCCATCAGAACAGACTACAGCTGTTAGAATGGGGGAGGCAAACGGGAAAATGTATTGAAGAACATCCTTAGATGGAAATATGCTCGGAAATAAAGACAGCCCAGATCACAGCTGCAAGCTGAGGCAGACTATGGGTAGATGGTGGCAGAGGGGACCTCAGCTGCATTCCTCCTCCAGCTGGAGACTTGCCACTGCTCATGACTAACTACAGGTGAGTGCAAGGCACAGGCATCTACAACAGAAGGCTGCCCAGCTGCAGTTGTGCTTTTCAAGCTGAACAGGGCAAGGATGGAACTGACTGTGAAAGTCTGAGTGCACTGGCAAAGCAAGGGATATTTCCTTTACTGTGATACAGGGGAAAATGCTTCAGGTAGAAGCGTAAAATAAAACTGTACTCCATCCTGGGGGTGGTAGGTCTACTTGTTCCCAGAATGCTTCATGCTGCTATAATAATGAATGGAGCAAGAATAAATAAAATTACTTGTCAATAAACTGGTGCCAAGGCATTAAGCCTTAGCTACTGCAGCTAAGGGGCATGTTAAAATTAAGTAGGAATCTACAGCAAAATCAGTTAAGCCTACAGAATTAACACTCGCTGCCCCTCTAAATGGACATTTGTTGGTACAAAGGACAGTGTTTGCCTACCCTGCCATATGCTAGCTTCCATTTAGAGATGCAAGACCACCTGGCACTGAAGCTGTTATACAGCAAGGGCTCAGACTGGCTCCCCCTCTAGTCTTTAACAGAATGGTCTCAAGTAAGCCAGGTACAGGTGGAGATATGTTTGTAATAGCCAAGATAAATCAGTCTTTCCAAATAGAAGCTACCTCAAGAGTTCTGCAAAAGGCTTTGTGCATTATTGCGCTCAATTTCAAAATTAACAGCTTTATTAGCATTCTCAGAAAAGTATGTTTTCCTCCAAGTTTACCCAGCTCCTTAGCTACAGAGTAGACTTAGTGGGGTGTAGGTTTTACTAGCTTGTGAACCAGCTCAGATGGTGATGCTGCAGTCCCAGAGTCAGCTTGTAACGCTTTGCTGAAGCATGGTGTCCCTACAGAGACCATTACCACTGACAGCACCAACAGCCCCTGGAGACCATCATCTGGTAGTTACCAGAATGCTGGTTGTGCCATTACTACGAAGCACTAGAAGTGCAATTCCTACTCGCAAACCCAATCCCAGAAGGGTGTGGGAGTTTGGTCCTTCCCCAATAGCAGACAGCTAAACCATAACTAGATGAAACCCCGTCAAGCATAAGCCGCTAAGTGCACAGCTCTTTGTGCATCGCCTGCAGGTCCAAGAGGAAGCCAGGCAGATGCAGTATCATACTTTCAGCCTTTGAAGTATCACTTCTCTTGATAACCTTGTGGAAGTAAAGATGGGCAACTCCTTTACCAAGGGATCATAACACCAGTGACTCCCTTCCCCAGCAGTTTGCAAGAGCTGTCCCTGAAGACACATTAACCACAAGCTTTCTTTGGCTTTAGTCTACAAGACAAGAATACCAGCTTAGCTAAATGCAGACCAGCTGTACCAGTAGAAGTGACCTAGTTTTTACATAGCACTTCTCAATCATTTTTTAGTGATGAAAAACAGGTGCAGGAGACTGTCTACATGGACTATTAGTGTGCATAGTAAGTGAATATGCTTTGCTCATGAATGATGCCCTACTACCTACTGTAGACATCAATGTGATGTTAACTTCAAGTGCTTGATTGGTTCGAGGGTAGGAGCAGTAACATCCTTTCCCACCTGAGATTCTACAAGGTCCTGAGTCAGTTGCTGCCAAGACCATCACCAATTTACAAAACATTATTTGTAGGCTCTTCGCCTGTGCAAGTTACAGAAGTTGCAACATGCACCCTCTGAGCTGTGCACAAACCCACCTGATCATTTCGGCGTGCTTTGCAATACTTTTATTTGCATGCTTTCCTAGCTACACCTAAGTACCTTCGAACAACAACAACAAAAAATCCGCTCTACTTGCGGCTTTCTAGAAGAGCCCTAAACAAAACCAAAACCAAAAAAACCAAACCCCTATCCCTCTCAGATGATGTATTTGAAACTGAATGTGCTATCGCAGGAGAGGCGTTTCCCTTTGCATCTC